ATGGATCCCCAGCGTTTAAAGGGACTTGGCACAGAGTTGGTCTCAATAAATACTTGGAGGGAAGGAAAAAAGGGAGGGAGGGAGAGAGGGAGGATGGAGAGAGGGAGAGAGGAAGGATGGAGAGAGGGAGGATGGAGAGAGGGAGGGAGGGAGGGAGGGAGGGAGGGAGGAAGGGAGAGCGGGAGGGAGGGAGAGCGGCCTTGCAAAGTTAGTGGAACCTTGAACTGAGCTATGAACAACATGTTGGTTATTCAGCTACATGGAGAACAGGTAAGTGAATTCTAAGCAAAGGAGACAGCATGGGAAAGCCACAGAGGCCAATGATTATGGAAAACTCAGTTAACTACAGGCAGCTCTGGTGTGGCTAGAGGGACAAGGCTATGTTGAGGAGGGGTAGAAGATGACGTCAAGGGACTAAGAGCCAGTCCATTAATGACTTGGAGGGATGAGCTAAAAATTTTGCCCTGTTTTTCTTCCCAGAAAGCCTCAGGCTCTGTCAGAACAGAGAGAATGGACAGTGCCTTGTGACGCACCTCTGTACCCCCACCTCTGGCTGTCAGATACCTGGAGTATTTCAATGATCTTCAGCTTGGTGTCCATGACCAGGATGTCCTCCTTCTCTGGCTCTGCCTGCTTCACGCTGCCTTCGGGGGCGGCAGCCATGGGGGTCATGGGCAAAAAGCCTCCTCCCCGGAGCACCACCTGAGTCATCAGCTCCCCGACTCCATGGATAGACCTCATCACGTTACTGCCTAGGAAGGGCCAGGACAGACCATGGTCATGACCTCTCCAGAGTGCGCCAAGGCACTGGGCAAGGGGCATGGGCTCTTTCAGACAAATTATTTAATATTCCAACACCCTCAGGACCCTAGACACCTGAAATGGTTAATACCCATCAAAAATTTAGGGCTTCTGGGAGTAGCAGAAAGAATGTGGCTTTGAAACCCCAAAGGAGCATATCTATATATTAATTCACCTGCCAAATGTTATTGATTACTAACTACATGCTTGTTACTGTGCACAGAACTAGGGATATGAGAGTTAAGCAGGCACAAATCCTGGCGCTGCTACCAAAAGCTGCTTGATCGTGGGAGCACTGCATTACCTCTGAGGCTCAATTTCCTCATCTATAAAATAAGAATAAAGGAGCTCAACAATAGGATTAAATGGTATAACGTATGCAAAATGACTTAGCATAGGACCTGGCAAACAGTGTGAGATAAGTCAATGTACTTTCTCTCTTCTAGCCTCAAAAGAATAGGTAAACAACATTCGATACCTGATACCCAATATGTGCCTACTCTGACCCTAAAACAGAGGAAGAAATAAATATATCAAAGCAGATTTACCTATTCACAAAGTAGAAATAGATACCAAGATACAAGGCAGGATTTTATTTCATTATATACAAACATTACCATCAAGGACCTTATGAATATCAAGAACTATGTATTTTTGAAAGATAAAAATTCAAAATGGTACGTAAACTTTCAAATTATTCAACAAAATATACACACAAATGCTCATATAAGCACAAAGGAAAAGACAGTAAAATGTTAATAATCACTGACTCTAGGTCTTGGGTGTATGGGAGTGCACTGCACTGTTCTTTCAGCTTTTCTTTATACAGTCATGCGCCGCATAATGATGTTTTGGTCAACAACAGATGGCATACCCGATGGTGGTCTCATAAGGTCATATGTGCTACACCACATAGCCTAGATGCTTAGCAGGCTACACAATCTAGATTTGTGTAGGTACACTCTATGATGTTTGCACAATGATGAAGTCGCCTGACACTGAATCTCTCAGAACACGTTCTTGTCATGAAGTGACACATGACTGTATTTGAAAATGTTCATAACGAAAAGATGGGAAGGAATGAACAGGAGAGGACAGAGTATCACATGGAGGGTATGAGATGAGTGTGACAGGGAAAGCCAGGAGGGCACACCTCGGGTGGACGGGCACCGTCAGATACTCACTCTTCAGCTTCTCCTCATCATTGTTACCTTTATTCTCTTCTCCTTTTGCCATCTTGCTAATGGGGAAGATTGTCGTCACATGCACGCAGTCCAATATGGCCAAGAGGATCTTGGTTAATCGTAGGAGGTCAGAGAAGTTGTAGAAACCAAAGTATATGAGATTCCTAGCTAAATTTACAACCTATAATATTAAAAAAAGAAGATGGTATTAAATAAACTGTATTTTTCACTTCCATTTGACACTGACCAGTTAGTTTATAAATGACAGGTAAAAAAAAAAATAAAATAAAAACACACAAATTATATATTGGCTGGCCGGTGGCTCACCTGGAAAGTGTGGTACTGATAACACCAGGGTCAAGGATTCAGATCCCCATACCAGCCAGCTGCTCTCCTCACCCCTCACCCAACCAAAAAAAACCCCCAAAATTATAAATGACAGATTCTGACCTTCCTTACAATAAGAGAAAGCATATATTTTGCTAGCAATTTCTGATAAAATTTCATTTTGAGAAATGGCTTGGAGGATTCTTTGGCTATGTTGACAAAAAATAAACATAATGCCATGTGCATCAGTTATCTAAAAAATAAATTTCATTTTACTTCATGAGGAGAAAAAAAAAATGAAAACCTGCAAAGCTACTGATCTGCTTTAATGACTAGTTAATAAAAAACTGACCCAATCATTTGATCTGCCCAGCTTCCCAAGGATAACACTGGGCGAGCCAAATTGTACCCAATAAGGACACAGATAACAATACTGTAATCCTCACAAATATAAGTCCTAAAACGCAAAAGTGGTCTCAGAAATATTGTAATTCAAAAAAATAAGGATTTATGTTCCTCAAATGATTATTCTATTGCTGATCCCAAGCAGCCTTTCTCCTGTCATTTTTAAAACAAAGTACAGAGAACACATAATGTTCTGTCATTTTTCATGATTCAATTCACCTTATTTCTTTTAAGAGCATAACTAATATTAGGCAAAGTGATTGGGATCAGTTTTATTTTATTCTGGAACAAAACTAAGCTGAATTCCTCTTCATTACTAAACCAGAGCATCATGATAAAAATCACCACCTACTAAAATATTTCCTCTTTACCCCACAGAACAGATAAAACACATAGGTCATTTCATCATGAGTTACCTCAAACGTAAGCTTATTTTTCTCCTTATCTGAGAAAGGAAACCTCTGACAAACCACATCTCTTAAATACTCCTCCACAAATTCCATGGTCTGAGCAAACCTCTCCTTAATTTCATCTTTGGAAGTTCCACTGCTATCATAGCTGAAAGGAAAGAAGAAAGAAAAGGAAATAAAATTTCAAATCCTTCTCAGTGAGGTTTTCTTGGGCTGCTCAGCCTCAAGAGTCAACGTCCCCAACACTTCCTATCCCTGTCCCCAACACTTCCTATCCCTCAACCCTATTTTAGCTTTTCCTCCTTAGCACATATCACCAACATGTATACTTCAGTCATGTATCATGTCTACTGTCTTCTCCCACTAGCACAGAGGTAGTTTTCTCATTTGTTCACTGATATAGTCCTTCAGCTTGACATATAGTAAGTACACCCTTAAATATTTGTAGAATAAAAGAAAGAGATAAATACAAGATCTAAACATACAATCATGCCATCTTTTATATTCTCAAGAAAAGAAATAATATTTGCCATCCACTTTATTTTATGCTTAAAGAAAAAAACAACTTCATCTTTCTTCTATGATCCAACTAGATCACATGTGGCTTAGCTACTGCTGCACAGAACATTATAAATGCGAGGTCTGGAAGTGACAGGTCTGGACAAGAGGAAGCGGGCTCACTCATCAATGGCGATCTCTGAGGGAATCTCCGACCAGAGGCGGGCGTATTTCACAGGAGTGACTTGCTCCTGGGGGTCTCTGTCCACGTGCATGTGAAGCATGAGGCGGCAGAAGGACGCCCTCAGGTCATAGGGCAGGTTCTCATCAGACATGCAGCGGAGAATGAGATCCACATCCAGCTGCCCTGATATTTCGTTGATGGCTAGGTACTGGCGGTCCAGACACATCCTCGCAAAGAGGTTCAGCTGATACCTGGGAAAAGAAAAGTGACAAAATTTACTTAGTAAAAAATTCCTCTCCAGAAATCATTCAGGATGAATGGAAACACACAGCAGGGTAGTCCAGGTGGCCCATCGGAGAGACATATAGCCACCTAAACCTAAACATCAACACCCCTGAGTTGCTTCTGTACCAAGCAGATAAAGGGACAGTTCAAGCCATGCCACAGACTGTGGGCTGACAGCCAACAGACACACACAGTCCAGCTGTGTCAGAGCAATTATGTGACAACTGGATCCCATTATGCCTTTGATTATCTTATAAAATAGATGGGAAAAAATGGTTAGGCTTGAGATGGTTGTCTATTTCTACCTCTTCGGTTGCATTTTTACACAGTATATTAAAGACCAGGTAGAAAATACTAAATGTATCACCCATATTGAGTCCAATTAGAAATTCTTCAATATTTTCAAGATCTTATGTCATGTAAGTCATTCTTTAGCTCCTACACATTTGGAAAACATTTGATGTACAAAAGTAGAGGACTCTTCACTTTCCTTCTTCATCCAATTAAAGTGAACTTTATTAACCTGAACTTGACCAGTTGAGAGCACTCTCTCATTCACTTGGGAGAAGATTCATCAAGCATTTGAGTAAACGTACTTGCAATGTGAAGTAATCAGAAAGCAATAAACTTTCAAACGGGCAAACATGTCTTCTCAACTTAAAACCCTATGTATTACCAATAACCATGATTTGAAAATACTCTCAACCTCACTGGATATCAATGAAATGCAAATTCAGTTATGAGTCTATTTCATACTCCTAAAATTAACAAAAATTAAAAAGCATAACAATCTTCAAAGTTAGCCAAAGACATGAGGAAGCAAAAGTTGTCATCTACAACAGGTGGGAATGTACACTGAAATGTCCTATTTAGGACTGCTCAGTAAAGTTTAAAATATGAACATCCTTCAGTCCGGCTCCTGGTGTGGAAACGAAACTCACACATTGCTCAGACAGATTTGAACGATCATGTTTCCCCTGACATGAAGAACTAAGCTGTGGCATATCAAACAGCCTTGAAAATGTGGCACCTTAATAAAACAGAATATTATTCAGCAGTCAACAAAATGGATCTACCTCTATTAACACAGACACATTTCAGAAACAACATTGAATACATAAGGCAAGTTTTAGAATGGTATCCAAGTCTGGTAACATTTATATAAAATTTTAAGGATAGAATACTACATATGATTTATGGATGCATACAAATGTAGTAAAACATAAAACGCACAGAGAACGTGAAAGGATCCACACCATCTGCATGAACGGAAGGGAAGAGAATAGAATATGGGAGGTAAGGAATGGCATTTTAATTGCAAAGTTTTATTTATTTTATTAAAAAATACCAGAAGCACTGCTTTATCTTCCCTTCCCTTTTCTTTTAAAAGTATTTACTGGTTTACTTTCCATATTTTCTTTCCCTTCCCTTCTTTCCAAGTGGCAGGACTAGCAGATCTTAGAGCTGGAGCCAAGTAGACACTGGGGACCAAGGAGGTGACCAGGAGAGGAGGAGATAGGTGACATACAGTGGGAATAAGCGAACAGGTGAACACACCAGAAATAATGGCAGCCAGAGGGAGTGATGAAAACGGAAAGAGTGAAGGTTAGGATAGACCCCATGGTGTTGGAACGGAATTGGAAGTATTAGTGCAAACTCATGGTTGTTATATGTTTGTAGAGACATATATAGAAACATATAGATAGCTATGCATATGTATATACAAAAATATATAGATATATGTGTGTACACGCACACATTTTCTAGCTCTGTCTGTAAACATTTTATGAGATTGGCACTATCACCTTTTTTTTTTGGCAGCTGGCCGGAAAAGGAATCCGAACCCTTGACCTTGGTATTACAAGTCTATACTCTAACCAACTGAGCCAACAGGCCTCTATTTTGCAGACAAAGAAACTGGAGCATAAAGTCAAACTTGACCAAAGTCAACAAACTAGTACTAAGTAGAGAGGTCAGGATTGGAACTTGGCAGTCTGACTCCACAGACTGACTCTTAACTACTGCAAAATGCACTTGTCATGTTGCTTAAGGACCCACTGTCCTAGGGCTGACCTGGGGCCAATGCAAGCACCCATCCTTCTTGTGACCCAAACATAGCCAGGTATCAGCTAACCAAGTATTGAGGCGATTTTACACCCTAAACTCCTAAAATACACATCTGTCTTTCTGCTAGAAAATCTTACCGGATAACATTTTGTGATTCCTTGGAGTAACCAAGAAACAAGCAATAAATTCCTAATACCACCCTTTGGGGGACTCCAAGCTGAGCCTAACACCTCTCCCATTCACCTGTAGTAGCTGAGAACATCTCGGTCTTCCTTCTGTCCTTCTTTAGCATCCTGAGCCAATTCCCGGACGCTCTTACTGCGAATCTCTTTGTTGCTGTCCCTCCAGAATAGCCACACCTCTTCCTCATCCTCTCCTGCTTCCAGAGCATTCTCTCCAGTAGAGACACCTTCAAACTCAAAACGAGAAAGAACCAACCTAGAAAATAAGAGGGAAAAGTCATTATTTTTGAAATCTGCTAAAACCTAGCTTCATTTCAGCATAAAGACGCACAGAAAGCCACTTTGTGCCGTATCTCTCCCACTGGCAGAGCCACAAAGAGCCTAACATTAACTTCTTCATATGTTTAACCCAGTGGTTCTCTACTAGGGTGATTCTGCCCCCAGTAGACATTCAGCAATATCTGGTGACATTTCTGGTTGTCACAACTGAAAGGGAAAGTACTACTGACATCTAGGGGTGGAAGCCAGGGGTACTGCCAAACATCCTACATTGCACAGGACAGCCCCCACAAGAGAATTATCAGACCAAAATGCCAAAATGCCAAGTCCAGAAACTGCATTAGCCCAAGCCCAAAATTAAGTTATGCATGAGAAACCAAAAAAATATCACTAGCTGAGGGCTTAACTTAGTATTGTTTTAAAACACTGTCCATATCACTGGCACTATCCTGGTTCAGGAAAACTGCTCCTTTGCCAAAAATGAATTAATACTAAATACTATATTACTAAAATTCTGTTGAACAATGAACACTTTCTGAATGGTCGTAACTTAAAACTCTCTCCGAAACTGACAATATTAACACTAAATATTAATTATGGCCTTTAAAATTTTAAATTGATGAAAAGAATTTTAAATCATTACAAGTATACTAAGTGTAGATAAAATGCTCCCTGGTGAGTTTATGTGACTTTTAAACCAGTAGGCAGAATTAGTGATACCATTGTGCAGAGAAGACCACACCAAAAACAAACCCAATAATAATAATAGTAAAAAGTCTAACCAAGACTTTTCCAAAAGGAAAAGCAAATGCCAGCCCACCTGACTTTAAACAGACTCTGCAAATTAAAGGGTTACGTTTTACTACTCATGAGCATAAGCAACCACTGAAACACTCGTTTTCCACCTAAACCCCTTCCTCACCTTTATCCTAAATCCCTAGACCCCCACTTACTTGGTCTCTATCAGGATATCGGCGTTGGTGGGATTCAGCACAGCTTTACATATCAGTTCCTGGGTCACCGGAATCGATTTGTTCATGGAGACACAAAGGTCGGAGAGGTAATCTAAGAATCTACCCAGAAACAAAAACAAAACAAAACATTTTCTTAGATGGAGTATTGGTTTGGCTTCTGGAGCCTGCCTCTTGGTCAGGTGCACAGGTCCAGCAGACCTTTGACAAAAGAAGTCAGCAACACTCAGTGCCAGTGTCTATGGCACCGCCTGAAACCCAGATGCCAGAGGGAAGAAGAAAGCAAGCAGCAAAAGAGAGAAGAGGCAGGGGTTGTGGTTGACGAAGAGGTGACGAGGTAAAAATGAGAAGGAGCAGGACGAGGAAGGCGTGCACATGAGAAGAAATGCTGGAGATGCAGAGGAGGCAGGGGCGAGGCATGGACACCTGCCAGCCCGGCTGGAAGCCTGCTTCTGATGCTGATAGGCAGTTCTCACACACGCTGCTACCTGGGAAATTACCTAACCTCCCTGTGCTTCTGTTTCCTCACCTACAAGAAAGGACGATGTGTGACTTCTGAGGGCCATCCTGAGGATTAAATGAAACCATCATGTAAAGTGCATCCTTAGCTCACTATCTGGCACGTGAGCAGGCTCCATAAAAAGCTGAGCATTTGTATGGGTGACAGTGGTCATTTTTATAGCAACCCTGTCAGCTCTCCAGTGTGACTATTTGTGAAACCTGTACTGTAAACTGCTTCCCACTTCACTTGAAATGATGTGGGTCTAATTAGAAGAAGAAAAAGGGGAAGAGCCGGTGGGGAGGGGACAAAATAAAGGCAGCTCTGTGTGAATGAGATAAAATCAATGGAGTTCACTGATGTACAATAAAGACACTCAAGTAACAACTGAGTTTGCAAAACTCTTACTGAGAACATTGGGGAGTGTTCTGACAATCAGGAGGTGCTAAAAAGTGAATGACTGGCCAATGATAATTGTCATTTACTGTGCACCTATGAAATGCCAGGCACTTCACATACATTTATTCTTTTTTTTTTTTTTTTTCCTTTTTGTCTTTTTTCGTGACCGGCAACGGATCGCAACCCTCAGTGTCACGCCCGTACCGGACCGGGACCGGCCACGGGATCGCAACCCTCGGCGTTGCTCCCGCCCCTCGCTTAGCCAGTGAGCGGCCGGTCTGTACGTGGGATCCGAACCCTCAGCAGGAGCGCCACCACGCTTCCCAAGCGGCGCACTATAGCAGTGCGCCACCGGGCCGGCCCCACATACATTTATTGTCACTTAATTTTCATAACTACCCATTTAGCACAGGAGGAAATTAAAGCTCAGGGAAAGAAGTCAAGGTCACCTTGCTGTTAAACTTTAGAGCTAGGATTCCACCAGGGTCTCTCTCTAATACTGTGTTCTTGTCACTACCCATCAAAGAGCCTCTCAACCTAACTAATCAAAACCTGCCACTAGCCACCCAAGGAAAGGAAGCCTAGTGCAAGATACCAGCTAAGTTCCTGCATCTCCAAAGGACCAGCTAAGCCCCTGCATCTTAAATGTAGACACCTTAGCCCCACTGATTAGCCCCACCCCCGCCTCACCTGGGCTCCCTGTTCTTTCGCACCAGACTGACAAATGTGTCGATCTCTGCTGCAGTGATGTGTTTTTCCAGAAGTTTTCGATTATTGTGGAGAAGGGCAGTGATAGTGTCTTCGGCCAATACATCATAGCCAATCTGCTTCTGCATGAAGCCAAACTGCTTGGCTATATACTCCTGTTAGGGACAGAAAAGAGAGGTCAGCAGGAAGGATAAAAGACAATATGGTTAAGTTCAAAATAAAGAAAGGAACAATATTCCTGATAAGAATTACCACTCATAAGGGAAATTACAGTGGAGCATCTTTCTACAACCTCCTACCCTAGGGCAACAGCTGTGGACTCCCTCGCATCCTCTATTTTACTAAAGATGCCACGGAAATGTAATTAAGCAAAATACTCTGTACTTAGGTATGGATGTTTTATTAAGTGCACAATATAAATTTTAATCTAGTGACTTACTTCTTTTTAAAGGTCAAAAGCTGTTTTCTTTAGCTTTGATTTTATTACTAATTCAAGAAGACTTAACTGTGCCCCACTGCTCTGTGCTGCTTAATAAACACAGATTAAGCCTACCTGAGTACATATTTGGAATAACGTTACCCAGTTTTGTTTTCATTATCTGGGGTAAGAATAAATTTTTAAAGTCAAAGGGTAGCAGAAGAAAACTTGGAATATCTAAGCCAATCAATCATATTCAAGGAACATATGAATACATCTTGGCTTCCCTCTTTTGGAATCAGACATCATATTTCATTGAAATATTTGTTCATTGAAATATTTGTGAGCTAAAGGAAGCCTCTTAAAAATGGTTATTTCCACTTAAACACATTTCCCTGCCCAAGACAGACCATCATGTAAATCCTGCCTATTCAGGATTTATATGATGGACATAAGCCACTCTTCAGCCTATACTCAGTAAGGATGCATATTTGGGGATTCTAAGTGGCACAGAATCCATAATCAACTAAGCAAAGATGTCCAATCCAGCAATAGCAAGAGGACCTGGTTTAGTTTACCTGTGGACAAGCAAAATGTCCCAGCATACACTATAAGCCCTGATGTAGCCTCATACAAAGAATAAAAAATGGGGCAGAGGGTTGACCAAGTTAGCTCATTTAGTTAGAGCGTGTTTTTATTTTTATTTTTTTGTCTTTTTCATGACCGGTAAGGGGATCGCAACCCTTGGTGTGGTGTCGCCCACACCGCGCTCAGCCAGTAAGTGCACCGGCCATTCCTATATAGGATCTGAACCCGTGGTGGGAGCATCGCTGCGCTCCCAGCGCCGCGCTCTCCCGAGTGCGCCACGCGGTCGGCCCTAAAGCGTGGTGTTTTAACACCAGGGTCAAGGGTTTGGATCCCCATACCAGCCAGCTGCCAAAAAAAAAGGAGGGCGGGGTGAAGCTGGGGCAGAATGAAATTTCTTTGGCACTATTTGCATTGTATTAATGCACTGAAGGTGTATTTAAAGCAACTACAGGTTGTTAAGGTTATATTTGTAAAGCATTACTTAAGTTTGACACTATCTTTATGACAACACAACAAAAACCATTAACTACAAAAAGAAAGTTTAAATTTAAAGACCAGATATAGTGGTAGTTGAAATCCTAAAAACAGCTGTTTATGGATCCTTTTGTATCACAAGCAGGGACAGCCAACATTAAATGATTACAGCCAAGATTATAATTGGCATCATTTTGTATGTCCACAGTACTTTACGTAGTACAGGTTTTCTCAAGCTCAGCACTATTGGCATTTTGGGCATAATTCTTTGTGGTGGGTGATGTCCTATGCATTGTTGGATGTTTAAAAGCATCCTCAGCCTCTACTCCTTAGATGCAAGTATCACTCCCAAGTTGTAACACTCAAAAGGGTCTCCAGACATTGCCAAATGTCCCTTGGGGGACATAAATACCCCCAATTGAGAACCAATGATGTAGCAACACAATTCTCAGGTTTTCTTAGACTCTAAGTTGTCTGGAACCCCCAAAGAGGTTATAACATTTATTTCATGGGAGAATATATATTGTGCATTATGTGTGTGCATGTATACTTATCTATAAACATGTATATATGTATGTTATGTATATCTATATATAATGTATACATATATCTAAAGATAATGACTTAAAATATAATAAAAAATGACCCAGAACCAAAATAAAGGGAAAGTTAGTGAAAGAGATAAAGGATATGAAAGAGGGGCAAAAGTATTTTTCTGTATCTTTACTACAAACACATGAAATCATTTTACCCCTAAAGCTTAAGGGAATATGCCATCAAAAAAAAAAAAAAACTATAAGGGCCGGCCCATGGCTCACTTGGGAAAGTGTGGTGCTGATAACACCAAGGCCACGGATTCGGATCCCTATATAGGGATGGCTGGTTAGCTCACTTGGAGAGAGTGGTGCTGACAACACCAAGTCAAGGGTTGAGATCCCCTTACCAGTCATCTTTAAAAAAAAACAAACAAACAAAAAAAAAACTATAAATGTAATACCATCAAACACAGAAGTTTCATTGAAAGGTAGCTGCAGAAGGAGAACTCTCCAGTATCCATCTAAAGGATTCTGTAATATATATTCTTCCCAGGCTTACAAGCAATCTGTGTTTCACTTCCAAGAGCAAACTTAACACTGAACTATTCTCTATCCATTAAATAAATACATATGTGACACTTAAAACCCATGAGGACAGTACATAAGCTTCAAGGAGAAAACTGACAACCACTCCCACCAACACTTAATCCCAACCTGGTTCTTCCTGTAGTCTTGCTGTGAGTGTCTCAGGACCCTGTAGCAGAGCCGGCAGATATGTCTGAAAGGAGCATGCCGCTGGTCCCCGAGCTCCTCCAGCCGCAGCATCGGGCCATCGCCACAGTCTGTGAATGGGGCCTGTAACAACTTGAAGATCTGTTTGTGCAAATAAAGAGCAAAAGCTGCCGTCACTTAGTGTGTTATAACACTGAAAGCAACACAACCCCTAAGGTGGCTGGAGTATGTGGGAAAGTGTTTCTATCCAAACCCATCAATAACCTGACAACTGCATTCAGTCAATCAACCGAGATTGGGTACTCACTGAATTCGTCCACCTGGACCTAACTGGTCCTCATACACTTGACAGTGCAGTGTCTAGAGCAAAGCTAAGAGCATAGATTCTGGAATCAGCAGATTCTATGCTGAAATCATGCACCTTTATTACTTCCTCGTACCATACATAGATAATGGTCAAAGTAAACTTCTGTTTTCTCACCAGGAAAATGGAAATAACATGAGGGTGTTGTAAGGATGAAAGCAGATAATAATTGTAAGTTGGATAAATATAGTACCTGACACAAATGACCAACGAAGGCTCCTGCCACTGAAGCAATTATTTGGGGCCCTTGAGGAATTGCTACTGAGGAAATGTGCATGGGCATTAAGCCAGAGGTCTAATTTGGGAGTTATCACATGAAACAGCTGGACATAATTTATTCCTGGACTCAACATCCTTGTTGAAACATAATGGATTGTTAACAAATTTTGTCTATCATAGACCAAAAGGAGAAAGGATTTCAAATACCAAGTTCCTATGGAGAACTGTGTCTCTTCCAGCATTGGTGGCCATGAATTTCCAAGCCAAGCATGCGGGCCAACCTCCAACAGTTTTATAGAATATGGTATGCACCTCTGTGTATTCCATGTACCTTGGATTTGCTACATTCCTGCCTATAATCTGTCTTTACACCAGCGGATTTAAGTTTACACCAAATAATACCATCTATGCAGTTCCTGTAAGCCATTACTCACTCTTTATGGAAAGATTTTGTGATGCTTTAGAGGACTCCCTACAAGAGCCTATATAGGCCTTCTGAGCTAATCAAATACTCCAAATCTCCCAAACATATGAAATAACTTTAAGGACACATTGTATTTTACACTATTTTTGAGGAAAATAATGTCAACTGAATGCTTCTTAGGATTTAGGAACTCCCACATGGTTGACATTCAACAAGTATGGGAAAAAAATCAATTGAACTGAGCTATCAAGCCATGAAATGACATGGAGGAACCTCAGATGCATATTATGAAGCAAGAAAAGCCCATCTGAAAAGGCTGCATATTGACGAGTCCAACTAGATCACGTTCTGGAAAAGGCAAAACCGTGGAGACAGTAAAAAGATTAGTGGTTACCAAGGGTTGGGGGGAGGGAGGGATGAACAGGTGGAGCACAGAGGATCTTTCAGGCAGTGAAACTATTCTGTATGATACTATAATGGTGGATACATGTCATTATACATTTGTCAAAACCCATAGAATGTACAACACCAATAGTGAACCCATAAGTAAACTATGGATTTTGGGTGTTAGTGACATGTCCATGTTGGTTCACCAACTTTAACAAATGCCCCACTCTGGTGGGTGATACTGATAATGGGGGAGACTGTATGAGTGTGGGCTGGGGGGCACATGGGGACTCTGTACTTACCACTCAATTTTGCTATGAACTTGAAAGTGTTCCCCCAAAAAAATTTTTTTTAATTTCTTTTCAACTGTTTTTTTTTTTTCCTATAGCAGGATATTTTATTTTATTTTATTATTATTAGCATATTCATCATTGACCAAGCCATCCAGGTGGGAATCATCAAGGACCCTCTATAAGAGCAGTGATCCCACTGATTTCTTAGATCCAACTCCCTAGTATGTCACATCTCACCAACCTGCTTGAGAATATTCTGTTCTCTCATCAGCTTCTGCCGTTCTCTGTTGGGCTTGGAGAAGACCACTTCAAGCACGTCTTGACCAGAGTTAGTTCCACCGGTGACAAAATACACCAAGTCTTCCAGCAGCTTGGTTACAGACCTTAGGAGGAAAGAAGCTGTTAGAGAAAGTGTTTGGGCTGGAAGCTTTGCCCTTGAAAGCCTTCTGAACTACCGATTAAACAGGAACAGACTCAATCTTCCAATTTCCTTGAAACAGACAACTGAAGCCAACTACCAAAAAGACTGACATACAGACAATATTGTTCACAAAAGGATGACACCTTCACAAAATATCAGCCATCAAATTTTATCTCAGAGTAACCTCAATACTTGACACTTAGAAATGCAGTTCCAGAGACCAAGTTAGAGTGAGGTAAGAGAGAGGGAGACAGAGAGAGAGACATTTTTACAACTTTATAGACTCTCAAAAAACTAAATTCAAAAATAACTGTTTCTTGAAAACCACAAATGGAAGCCACCCATAAATGCTAGGCCTGCTATCCTCACACACAGCTGTTGAGAGTCGCAAGGGATTTCAGAACCCTACAGTGGGCATGGCTGGCTGTGCTGGGCACGTGGGAATCCCTCACCTTCTTTCATTCTGGGTGATGGTGCCTTTTTCTAGCTTCCCAGCAATGGAGCCCAGCACCTTGCTGGCATCATTGGCAAAGTCGAGGTCCCGAACTTCAGCAGGAGAAACTGGAACTATGGCAAATGCTTCCTTATCCTCCTTCACGGGAGATGTGCCAATCTGAAATTCAAGGTGGTCTTTGTGGGACAGTCTCTTGATTTGAGAGGGCAAGACATTAATCAAACACTATTTTTACTGAATATTGGGTGATCCAAAAAATTTGGAGCTATCTTGCAATTAAAGTTGACTAGATATAGGAAAACATCTGGAAAGATGTATTCCAAATGGCTAAAAGTGTTACCTCTGGAAACTGGTATTATCGGGAGCAGTGAGGCAGGAAAGTGGGTACTACTATTATTTTATAGCTTCATTTGTTAACAGGGAGCAAGATTCTTGTAATTAAAGGACATGTTTTTAAATACACAAAAAGCAAATATGAAAAATGGTAATTACTGATTCTAAGTGGAGAGTATTATAAAGGTAAATACTGTACCATTCTTTAAACTTTACTATAAAAATGAAAGCATTTATAAAAGTAAAAGAGAAAAATAACCTTCCCCATCACCACAACAACAAAAAAAAGTTATGTGAGAGTGTCTTTCAATTTTTTAAAAGAAAAACCCTATGTATGTATATTTATACTCTATGTGCCTGGAGAGAGTGAGGAAGAAGAGGTGGGAGAGGAAGTAAAGGGGCTGGGGGAACTTTCAATAAATAAAAGTGTACATTTAAAAACATGGAGAAATAAAGAAATAAGAAAGACTGGGGGAAATCACCTAGATATGTGATGTACCTCAAGGCACAAGCAAACATTCCCCCAGCCAAAACTATCCTTTACACAGACACAAAATCCAGACAACTGCTCAACCATTAGGGCAGAAGCCATGGAATAAAATAAAAGGTTCTTGTTATTTCAAAAGCCCTGGGCTTGTGTCACCCAGGTCCCTGGAGAGAATTCTTTCATCACATTCAAGTTTGGCCACAAGCACACTCTTGCCAAAGCAACAGAAACTTCAACCGCTCCATAGTCCCCATCTGTCCTCAAAGGAGCCTTTCATCAGGGAGCATGAGACCAAGGGGAGGCAGCCAAGCTCCAGGGCTTACTTTTAGCATCACGGGCTTTTCTTCTTCCTTGTCAATAGGAATATTTGTGCTGTGAACCCAGGTGTTAGTGCATAGGTGTCTGAGCCGAACATAAGAGTTCCTAAAGGGAAAAAAAGAAAGGTTTTAGGAACAGGAATATTTAAGTTTACTCTAAAGCCACAGGTCTAGAATATATTGTATTAAAATAGAAAGAGATAGCAAAATGGTTTTCCACTACAAGCACTAGACAATCTAAACTTAGGCAAACGGTTCTGGTCCAAGTCCCACTCTAATGTATTTACAACAGAAAATCATTCATAATGACTCAGGTGATCGTCACCTGCTGTATTTCTAAATACAAGCTATCCTGTGAATAAATATCTCAGTACAAACCACGCATGAGAGAGGGCAACAAGAGCACTTACTGAGTGTATGTTAGAGCCTGTCACGAGAGATAAGAATTGAAATTTTTACATGGATCAATAAACAAAAAATGAAATCATAAAATTCCTGGAAGGAAATGTGAGTAAATATTTACTAATCTTGTGGTTGGGAAAGCCTTTTAAACTATGTAACAAAATATAAGATCCCTAAATCTTAAAAGTAAAAGATGGGTAAATTTTATCTTATGCATAGCAAAAAATAAATAAATAAATAAAAAGTCATGAACAAAGTTGAAAGAAAAACCCTAGCCTGGGAAAATAAAAGTACCACACAGCATAAAAGAATTATTAATGCATACACATAAAGAGCTCTTACAAACCAATAAGAAAAACATTAATATTAGAAATGAAAATAGGACAAGGAAATGAACCAATAACTTAATAATGAGGTACAAATGGACAATAAACATGGAAACATACATTCAACCTCTTTGGTATACAATTTACATAAATTAAAGCAACATTTTATTGTACTATATTTGAAAGACCTTAAACACTGATAAATCCAGTATCAACAAGAGCTTAGGGAAATGAGTTTCGTGCATTGTTGGTGAGAGTGTAATTAGGTAAAACTGTGGAAAGGAGTCTGACATGCTGTATAATATGTAAAAGGATCTTTACTTTCATCTAGCAATCCCATTTTTCGATTTTTTTCCTTAATAGATATTAGAACAGTTGTAAAATGAGGCATGAAGATGTTCAGTAAAGCATTATTTATAACAGTAAAAAACTGTAAACAACCCAATGTCTTGATAATGGACTAATTATAGTGAATCCAATAGAATACTATAGAGTTATTAAATGATGACAGTCAATATTCATACTATTCAGTAAAAAACGTAAAAATGGCTTATGATCACATTTAGGATAAATTACACAGTCATCTCCATGTGCCCAGAGACCTGTCTGAAACTACATAAACCAAAAGTAACAGTTGTTAACTCTGAATGGTTTAACTGAATGTGGTTTTACTTGCTTCTTTGTTCTCCACGAGGTTTTAAAACGTTTTTGTTACTGGTTCTTTTTACAGTGAGCATGGATCATTTTTGCAATGTTCTGAATTTTGCTTTACTTTTAAAGAAGTAAAAAACTGACATATTTCTTGCACTTAAAGAACCTACCACCCCATTAGTGAGACAGGATGAACGGACACCAAGCAATCCTAAGTAATAACAGGTACACATTAAAAGGCAGCCAGTTGGTTTTTGAGTCTTCCAAGCAGGACTCAGTTACAAAAATTTTCTGTTACAGAAAACTTGAGCTGGAACTTTAATTGTTGGTGGGACTGGGGCAGAGAGGGAAGAATGGAAATCATTCTCACTAAAAGGAATTTATAATGATAGCCTAAGTCTAGAAAATGGCACTGGAAAGGCACAGAGGAGCAGATCAAACCAGGCACATCTCTTGAGTAGATCTTCTGCTTTCCCTTGTTATAGCTGTCCTGAACATTACAAGTAAGGCCAGGAGAGGCTGATCATAGTGGTAATTACTTTGACTAGCATGAATATAAATTAAACAACATGAACAAGATATCTGACAAAGAGATTTGAGTTTTTTATTCTGAGTGACTTGGATTCATTTGATTATTTTCAAAGTATTACCAAAGCCTGGGGCTTACCTTTTAACTGGATCATTACATTCTATAGAGTTCTACGTCAAATTTCATTAAGACACAAAAGGCATTCTATCAATTCCTCTGGAATGCTATTCCCAATCTTTAACTCAAAAGCCCTGATATCACGACAACTTCAAAAGAGCCAGAGCTGGATGCTCTCCTACTGTTCATTTAACACATCTAATTGACACTTATTGCAATTTTATTATCTTGTTTAATATATCCAAGATTTGCCATTTTCTCTTTTACTTTGGTTCTAAAGGATTCTTTCAACTAGTAACTATCACAAAAATGCCTTTGCGGATAACATTTCATGGACATTCATATACCTAACCCTAGACTTTCTGATCTTCAAACAAGTAAATTTTAGCACAGCTTTAAGATGGAGAGAAATAACTGTATTCCTCTTCAGGTTTTTTATGACTCCACAGGATCAATGAATAAGAGGCTCTGTTCTCTCCTGGCTCTTAGATTGGTGGCCAAAGGCAAGAATGAATAAGAATTTAAAAAGCAAAGATGCAGTCCAAGATCATAAGTGAATACACTGGTAGACCAGGCCAGATGCTTTTTCCAGTGCAAACACAGGGCTTCCCTTGATTTTGAGTTTAGAATCAATCTAATGATGGACAACTGCCCACAAAGAAAGTCTGCCAACAAGGAAACAGTAATGAATGGAGGGAATATAGAAGCAGGAGTCTCCAACCAACCAGTGCTGCTTAGCCAGCTGACCTAGAAACTTAAACTTTCCCTCCCCACAGGATCATGGGGGCTTCCAACACACTGGGATATATGGCCCACCAGCACCTCATTCCCTCTTCACCAAGAGAATGCCATGAAGCATATTCTGATAAAACAATGTGATATTTTAAATCACATGGTTCTTTTCTTTTCTATCCATAACTGAAACACTTAGGAATGACATTTATATTATATGCTAAGAAAAATTCATTAAATAACTTCCAGAACAGAGGATACAATGTATGGAAAATTACTTAAACTGAAATGCAACTGGGTTCTACAGACCTGTGCCTGTGTAGGTAATAAGCAGGCAGTCAATGAGAAAGGAAGCTTTACAAAGCAATATACCCTACTGAAAACCATTTTTAAAAATGATCTCAAAATGAATCAAGGATCTAAGTATAAAGAATGAAAACTATAAAACTTTTTTTTAATGACCATAAATTTTTGTGACCTTGGATTACACAATGGTTTCTTAGGTAAGAAACCAAAATCATAAGCAATCCAAGAAAAAAATAGATAAATACAGCTTCAACAAAACTGAAAAGTTTTGTGCCTCACAAGACAGTATCAAGTAAATGAGAAGACAACTTACAAAATGAGAGAAAATATTGGCAAATTATGTATCTGATAAGGCATTTGTATCTAGAATAAAGAACACTAACAACTCAATAATAAAACAAAAATCCAGTTTTTTAAAATAGGCAAAAAATAATGGGTAAAGGATCTGAACAGATATTTTTCCAAAGAAGATGCACAAATGGTCCATAAGCACATATAAAGATGATCAACCATTATCGGCCATCAAGGAAATGCAAATCAAAACCACAATGAGATACCTCTTCACACTAATTAGGATTGGTCAAATAAAAGACAATGACAAGTGTCGGAGAGAATGTGGAGAAATTGGAACCATTACACACTACTGGTGGGAATTTGAAACGGTGCATCCACACTGAGAATCTGACAGTTTCTCAAAAGGTTAAACATGGAATTACTATTGGGCCCCAATATTCCACTCCTAGGTATAGATCCAAGAGAAATAAAAACATGCGTCTACGTAGAAACATGCACAAATGTTTATAGCAGGCATTATTCATAATTACCAAAAAGTGCATATAACCCACACAGCTTGTTTATCTAGATATAGCACTTCTTATCCAGCTATTAAGAAACCAGTCCAAATTCTTTACCAGATCCTTTATAAAAGCTTAAAGAAAAGGCAATAATGACTTGGCCATCAACTGATATATGCTAAATAAAATGTGGTATTATCCATATAACAGGATATTATTTGGTAATAAAATGAATACTGATACATGCTAAAACATGGATGAACCTTGAAAACAATACTGAGTGAAAGAAGCCAGGCACAAAAAACCACATACTATGTGATTCCACTCACATGAGATGTCCAGAACAGACAAATTACAATATAGACAGAAAGTAGATTGGTCTAAGGCTGGGGGTGGGATGTGGGGAAATGACAGTGAGAGTGACTACTAATGGGTATGGTGTTTCTCTTGCGGGTGATAAAAATGTTTTAAAATTCATTTTGGTGATGGTTGCACAACTCTGCTAATCTCCTAAAGAATCTGAGCAATTTTGGGGGGGCATAGCTGGTTGGTACAGAGATTGAGCCCCGGACCTTGGTGTTATCAGCACCATGCTTTAACCAACTGAGCTAAATGGCCAGCCTTGAATTGAACACTTTAGGTGAATTGCATTTCAATAAGACTTATTATTATTATTATTTTTTAAAGAATCTAAATCAGAGGTTCCAAACCCAGAGTATGCAAAGCTGTGCACACATGTAGGGTTTTCTGGGATCTCTAGCTTTCCTCAGATTCTCAGGGGATTAACAATGCAGCCGAGTTCAAGAAGCAGTGATCATTTTACCAAATGGCAATGAAAGGCCTTCCTGTAACTGTAAGGTTCTCCTTTCCAAGGGCACTGCCTTAGATCTGTCACTCTGAGAGGGACAGGAATAGTAGCCAGCACAGGAAAAAGGACTCCTCGAATTCTGACGGCACCTGCGTTGCAGTTGTCAGTTTCACAGCCTGGCTCTGCTGGGTGAGCAGGTAAGCAGCAATGTGTACATGAATAATGAAAGACAAAGGAATTTTCAGTGCGAGAGGCCATATGCAAAATTCACAAACACTGGCAGAGGTCCACCAACCAGCGCTGTGCTGAATAGTTAGAAGAACTGCCCAAACAACCCTATCTGTCTTAGAAATTAAATATTTGGGGTTCTGCTATGGCGCTCACTGACTTAAGTTGCTTAAACTCTTGAGTCTGTTTCTTTACCTGTAAGAAGGGGTAGATAATAATACCTGTATCACAGCGTTTTCTGTGAGGATGAAATTATATAACGCAAGTAAAGTACTTAGCATTGTACCTGGCATGTAGTTAGCACTCAATAAATGTTAGCCATTACCAATATTGTTGATTTTGTCAAAAATAAGCTTCTGTCCCATTTATAGTTGTTTCTCTTCAAAAATGCATTCTTAAGCAACAAAACTGAGTTAAATTTAATCAAATAACCAAAGAATACTCATCGAACTTCTTAAACCTTTAATAAAATTTACTACGCACACAGTGAATTTCAGGTCTTCCATTTTCTAGAATTTCTTTTCAATTGTTTATTTAATTGACCAAGAGATTGCCTGGGTTTGGTGAAGGAAGAAGGGAGTGAAGGAAACTAGAAATACTGAGCTACCTGGGTTCAAGGTTCAGCTTGTTTATCTAGATATAGCACTTCTTATCCAGCTATTAAGAAACCAGTCCAAATTCTTTACCAGATCCTTTATAAAAGCTTAAAGAAAAGGCAATAATGACTTGGATTCCAAGAAACATGGCAAGGCCACATATACCAACCCTGATTCTCATGGGATAAGCAATTTTAAAATCATACCTTGGGACAAGGCTGTCACCTCCACGGAGGGTGGTGGGATCTAGCTCAAAAATGGAGGAGATGTCATTGCCTTCGGGCACGGAGACCAGGGAGTACACCATCTTTTCTTGGGCATTTCGCAACCTACTTCGAGATGCGTCCTGATCAGGGTCCACCTGAGGAGGAAAAGTCATCAGGTCAAGAATTTATTCACTACTATTATTCCACAATCCATAGGAACGGAGAAGAAACGATAGTAAATGTCAGCAGTTGGGAGGAAAAGGACCACAGTTTCAGAGCAGTCCTGAAAGATGACAATTGGTCACCTGAGCCAAGAATATTTACTCTACCTTGTATTGCAATAAAAATGTTTAAACCATGTGGGGTCCATGCAAAGAGTGCTACCAATGACCAAGAACTTCATACAGCAATATCCACCTGCAGTAGCTGGGCGGGGGGATGCACTTTGAGGAAACAAATGTACAGTGATAATTGTCCACCAACGATATGATTCAGCTACCTCCTGGGAGAAAAATAAAACATGATAAACCCGAATCCAAGTTTTTATAAGCACCAATCCTAGTGTGGTCCCCCAAAAAATATGTTTTAGAAGTCAGCCTCGCCCTGAAAAAAATTAATTAAGAGGGCTCTGATGACAATTCAGGGGAAAAGGACCTCTCCTGTGATATTAGGGATTTCGCTCAAGCTGAAGAATATCTCTGACAGTGAAGGATGATAAACAATGACAAAAGCTTTCCCGACAAACTGTAAAAAACACATTCTAGGCTCCAAAGCCCATCTGCTTTAGGAGATTAAAGAAGCAGACTTCTACTGAGCGTCTGCTCTAATAGACTCTGCAAGCTCTCTCTGAGCACTGACTCCACATGGGATTATTTTTAATGTTTAACATCCTTGCAAGATAACAAAAGCCACCTGCATCTACTGGGAAAACCACATTTTCTCTGTCACTGGCTTTTCTTAGGCTGAAGCGCTGTCTCCTTTCTAAACAGGAGGAAGGAGACTTCACCAGGAAGACCAAAGAAGAACCTAACTTCACCAGGAGAGTTCCACTTCTATCTGGAAAAAAAAAAAAAACCCAAAACAAAATAGTTCTTTTAATACCCCAAACTTCTGTCTCTTCCCTCCCCCCTTGTGTTTTCTCCTCCAATAACTTGTACCTCTACCTAAACAAACCCTAGACCCTTTATTCTGTCTATACTACTATAAAAGTTAACTGGAAAGCAACAGCACACCTCTACCCCTCTGCGCAGGGGAAGGAACTCCGAACGACATTTGCTCTCTCCTTGCTACTGTCACCTGGCAAAGTACACTGCATGCCACTTTCAAAATAAACTCTGACCTGATTATGGTTTGAGACCCAGGGCTCGGCCACAGGCTGGCAGTTAAATTTCAGAGACCTGTGGGAAGTCTAGAGGAAAATGACAGTCACAGTGAGTCTGCCGCATCTGGAAACGTGCTGAGCAGCAGCATGCTCACACTCTTTCAGTGTGCAGTCAGCGTTTGCCACCTAGTGGGAAGAAAGGCACATGTGCAAAAGACCCGCAGACACAGCAAGCCTTGGGTAGTCCTTTCTTGTCCTCTGGCACCAAGCGAGTGGCCCGAGGATGCTGCATGTAGAAGGAGGAGCACAACAAAGCCGAGTAAGGTCTAAGGCAACAACCAAGGCACTGGATGCCAGTCTCAGGGAAACCAACGGGCAGGGCAGAAGATGCTTCCTCTCCTAAACTCACAGACTCTAGCTTTTCCACCCAAGTTCCCAAGACAAGAGGAGGGTGAGGGTGCAGGATGTCCCCAATCCTAACACCTTGCCCACAGGGGCAGAAGCTCTGCTGCTGGCCTCGAGGGTGTGGGGTAAGCCCCCTTCTGCACACAGCCCTCCTCCACATGCAGACCACGGCCCAAGCAACAGTAAAGTAGCCACAGCAGCACAGCCTAGAGGTGCACCCAAGCCTGCTGGCACAGCCCGCCCCCCGGCATGGAGAGGCATGGACACAGAGAAAGACCACTGAGCTCCGAGAGAGCCTGAGATATACAAGGAGTCAGGACTACTCTCAATGGCTGCTTCCTCCTGTCAAATTAAGATCATGAAGCCTGTCCTACCTCCTTTCATGTAGCTGCTCTGCAGCCCAGATGATCTGGGGCATGGGCAGGGCCTAAAAATGCTAATGATCTTGGACAACTTAAAAAATGCCCCCTGTACAAGTGAGAAAATCGTGGCTCAGAGAGGGAAAGTAACTTGTCCATGGTCACACAGCTCAGGAGTGGTGGGTCTGATATTTAAACCAAGGTTTGTCTTTTTTTGATCGCTATGCTCTTCCTCCTGCACCACAAAGGCCAGTCTTGCCACACACACGAGGCCAGGAGAGCAAGGTTCACATGGACATCCACTCTCACTGAAAGAAGCCACGGCTTGCCTAATCTCAGAGGGGAGACTTACGCTCTGTTACCTCGGATGGTAACACTAGACCACTGGGTGCAAGTCACACAAAGGCAGTTCCTTCTCTTGAAATAAAGTAGGTGCAAGGACAAGACTGTCATGAAAAATCCAAGAGATACCGTCAGGTATCTACTAGTCCAGGCGTTCAAACAGTGACCACATGAACACTACGCAGAGAGGTTTTACAGTAGATTTCCTCGCGCATCAACAGAATGCTGGACTAGCTCAGTGTTTTCCAAGCCATAGTAACTGTGGAAGGAAAGCTTTCAAAGTGGACTCCAGAAGTGAAGGTGGCAAGGACAAAAAGAAGGAAGAGGAGCCTCGGGCGCTCCATCCAGGAGCAGAAAGGATAGGAGAAGCTCCCAGCAAGTCTGCGTAGTAGCAGCCGGAAGCTCTCGGCCAGAACTTCTATGAGTTTTTCTCAAAGCCAACATTCTACTCAAGCACAACTGGAAGGATAACGGTGAATGCAGAATTCACAACACATTCCAAAGACAATTACATTTTGAACTATCTCCACACCATCTCCCTTCATTAACATGCCAATTTTCAAGTGCTTCCAAATATTTCTAAATTTTACTAAAACAAGAAATATCCTCAAGACTGCCTACCACATCCACCACTGAGACCACCATGTGGACACACATGTGAAATACAGCAACAACTGTTTGGTTTGGCTTGGTTTTTAAATCCTAGACCAGAATCAAGCACACCATGGGAAAACTGTTTTGCTTATCCCACTTTTCCATGTAATACAATGACTGCCTTCTTCAGTCTGTAACTGTGGACACCTGATCCCCAAGTGTCTACATATCAGCATTACTTAGCAACAAGGTCTCCAAAGAAAGATCCATTTTGCATTAAAATTCCACGTCACATTATACATTAAAGCCTATTCCTGACTTGGCAAAAAGCAGGGACAGAAGGTTGAACAATCGAGTGGGTATCAGATGCCAGGTGCCTGCACGTCACATGTTACCTTCACAGTCTAAACAGTGCTAGCCACCTCATGTGCTCATTCCCTGGAAAGTCTGAGTGAGTCATGGATTAAGGTCAGCAGCAACAAGGCTATGGTTTGTAAAAGGCCAGCTTCTACATAGGCCATCAGCGCCTACAATCTGCTAGGATTCCAAGAGATACTGTCAACTTCTCTGACTCAGAGGTGAAGACCCCTTGACTAAGCACACTGAAAGAGCATTATGACCAACAATCCCTAGGACCAATCAGGACACACAGGGATATGACTGCCTTCAAGGGAAGCACAGAACAAGACCTTCTTTTAAGGCAGCCTAAGGTTTATCCTTCCCCAGCACTCAACAACCAGTTTCTTAAATGAGGTTCCAGATTATTTGGCCTCACCCTACCACATGAAGACAAGAAGGCTCTTGCCCATACTTACTGAGGGCTGAAACTCCAGGCATTCTTCCTCAAAGTCAGGGTCTACCTGATGAAAAAGAATCATTAGGAAATTAAAACATCCATTGCTTTCTCAAGGACTGGGCCCCACTTGCAGGAGACTTCAAAGGCTGAGAACATTCTTGAACAGCTAAGAACTTGTCCCTTCCCTCAGTTCACGAAACCAGCATGCCACAACAACAACACAAGTCACATGAGTACAACACACACAGAACAGTCTACCAGTCACCAAAGGACAGCTTTCAAGTGTAAACAGAGGAACACAAAGAACTTACTAGCAAAGCAACAGTTAAAAGCCTGAGCTAGATAAAAGGTAGATACATAGTCATTGATAATCTTGCTTATTTTTAGTTAAAAAGAAAAGAATTTAGGCCTCCAGCAAGAGCTACGTCAGCCTCAAAACATAACAGATAATGCAACCACCATTAATCTTTAATAAACCAAGTAATCAACATTTCTCACAGCCAGTGAGCTGGGCCTATAATTCCCTCCAGCTCCAATTTAAATTTCAACTTCCACTTCTTGATCTTCAGTTCTTAAATATTTCAAAATCATCGGTTCCTACAAGTCTCAGGCACCCCAAGGGGGTCAGCACATTTAGATTCAGCTTTCCTTGGGTCAGCTGCAGAAGCTGTATGGACTCCCACGCTTCACCCTGGAAATCTCTGTGCGGTCTCACCAGTGGTACCAGCCAACAGTGGGGGCCTTTTGATGTACGGTTAGAATCTGATACGAATATGCACCGTACATCTTCCAGCAGGTCAGAGTAAAACTCGACATCGGTCACACAGTAGGGTGGCTCCTTAATTTAATACAAAAATAAAAGGCAAATTCCTCTTGTCCTTCAGCACTGAGTCTTTCCTTTCCTTGAAAACCCTTCGTGGACATTAAAGGTAAAGTGAATTTCCTTGATTTTTGACAATGCCACAAGTCAAAAACAAGCTGCTGTCCATTCCACTAATGCTCTGAGAAATCAGAGGTCTTTTTGAAATTGTCTAATTCTTAATGCTTCCGACTTTCCATACCATGTTTCCACTCCAGCCGAGGCTCAATCACATGTGTTATGAGTGGAGTTGGTAGGTAAGATGTGGGGAGGGCTGTATGCAAGGGGAACACAGAAAGATAACCCTAAACACCTGGATTTGCATTATTTTCTAACTTACTTTTCTCCCCACGTCTTGAGCAGAACCCCTATCAAGTACTAAAATGTGTTAATCACTTTGCCTCTTTCTTTGCAGCAGGAAACAGAAAAGCAAGGTGACTGAGCATTCCCCTATTCCTCTAATACCCAAAGGCTACAAGTGAGTGAGGAAAGGCGGTTGGTATGTCAGCCTTGAAAGAGGAAAACGTGAGAGGTGCTACTTACCTCTGCTGCTAAGTAATGCCCTGTAGCCAAATGCTTGAAACGGAAGAGGCTGTTCCAGTAGCCAGCTCCACCCCGACACGGGTCATGTTGGACTACCTGCAAGAGGAAGGACGATCAACGGCAGCAGAAGAAATGTCAACTCATATTAGGAGAATACTGAATCTGAGACATCATTAGTCACAGTTCAGGAGTGATATATGCTAGCTGAAAAAAAATCAGCATCTTCCAACAAACCCATTGAAAGTGTCATATGTAACATCCAAACTCAAACGCATGGAAGTATTAAAAAATGTTTCTCCAAAGAAGGAATAGTCTTCTAGCTAACATGCCATTGTTAGAGTTAAAATTTCAATGGTTTTCAGATTATCTGCCTTAATCATAATGAAGTAGACTCTGAAATTCATGCACAAAAAAGCATGACCCATAAAAAGGAACTTCATGGAAAACTGTAGAAGCAATCAATACATATACTTATGGGCTGGAACACATACACAGGCCTGGGCTATGAAATGTGAAACTCACAGAATCTGAGCCAATTTATCATAAAAATAAATGTAACTTCAGCTTCTGGCCATGACTTAGTAACTGGCACTGGCAGTTAGTGCCATAAACAATGAGACACTGCACAAAGTAGATGAAATTGCCACAGACAACTAGAACACTGGATAAAATATATGAAATAACAGTGTTCAGATGCTGGACAACAGGAGGGGCACAACATGATCTATGAGCAGAGAGAAACAAACCAGGTGAGTTCTGAGACTGCCCTGGTTTTCCACCACTGTCCTCTCTGGACGGCAGGACAGCGAGGGAGAAGCCAAATTCAGGGCCAGGCTCACAGGTCAGAGTTTAGGGAGACTGAGGTGGCTAGAATTTGTGGGGTAAAGTCCTGGAGAGTATGAAGCTACACACAGAAAAAGCTCCAGAAATCTGCACAGGGGCCTCCTTAGAATCTCTGGCTAAAGATCAACCTGTGTATGTTTAAGGCAAGACCCACAAGGCCAAATAAAGAAAAGTAAAGAAGCTGAAAGCTTAGCATTCCTAGAGCTCACACAGAGTTAGGAGGTGTCCTGATTCTGACAAGTCAAGCAGAGAGATCTTGTGGAACACTGTGGGCACTAAGAGATGTCAAAAGGGTCCTACCTTAGTAGTAGGGCTAATCCAGCCCAAAAATAAAGGGTACACTACACCTGACTTAATGAAGCTTGAACACAAGCCTCCAAAGCATCAAACGAATCCACTAGACTTTACTCTCTGACAAAACAAAACTCAACAACACTCTTTAGAGGAACAAAAGATCCCAGACATTCAATAAAGTAGTATTATGATGTTATGTTATGATTATTTGCTGAGCAATGGTCAAAGAAGGAAAAGGTGACCCATAAACTCAGCAACTTGTCAGACAATATCAAATGACCCAGCATATGTCTGTGCAGGTTGGTGGGTGCAGGAAAAAATATCTGAGTAGTAATGACCCAAAGTTTTCCCATTTTGATACCTACCCACAGATCCAATAAACTCAATGAATTCCACCAGGATGAACACACACACACACTCTCTCTCTCTCTCTCACCCCAAGGCACATCATAATCAGATTAATGTAAACCAGAAATCAAAAGAAAAATCTTTAAAGCCTCCAGGAGAGAAGGAAGAACTATATATAGGGAACAAAGATTAAAAACAAACATTGAATTCACATCAGAGACAATGTAAGCCAAAAGACAACGGATCAAAATCTTTAAAGTACAGAAAGAAAAAACTATCTACCTAGAATTATGCAGCCAACAAAAACATCCTTCAAAACTAAAGGCCACGTGGAGAAATCGGAACCTAAATCCACTGCTGGTGGGAGCATAAATGGTGCAGCCACTTCAGAAGACCGTCTGGCAGATCCTCATGAGGTTAAACACAAGTTACTATATGACCCACAATTCTACTCCCAAGAGACCTGAAAACATATGTCCACACAAAAGCTACTACATGAATGTTCACAGCAGCATTATCCACAAGAGCCAAAAAGTGGGAACAATATAAACACTATCAAATGATAAATGGACAAATAAAATATGGTTTATCTATAATGGAGTATTGTTTGGCAATAAGAAGAAATGAAGTACTGACACATGTGGCAATATGAACTCTAAAATGTTATCTGCTATGGTCTGAATGTTTGTGATTCCCCAAAATTCATATGACGAAACCTAACCCCAAGGTGATGCTATTAGAGGTGGGGCCTTTGGGAGGTGATTAGGTCATGGGAGTGAAGCTCTCATGAAGGAGATTATAGGAGACCCCAGAGAGCTTCTTTACTCTTTTTCTGCCATGTGAGGACACAGCAGATGAACCAGGACGCAGGTCCTCACCAGACACTGAATCTGCCAGTGACTTGATCTTGGACTTCAAGCCTCTAGAACTGTAAGAAATAAATTGCTGATGTTTATAGGCCACCCAGCTTATGTTATTTTGTTATAGCCACCCAAATTGAATTAAGATATTATCCCAGGTGAAGGAAGTCAGATACAAAGGACCACATATTGTAGGATTCAATTTATACAAAATGTCTAGTATAGGCAAATCTACAGAGACAGAAAGTAGATTTCTTTCCAGGGGCAGGAGGGTGAGGGAAGATTTAAGGGGGAATGAGGGGTGACTGCTAATGGGTATAGGGTTTCTTAAGAGATGAGGAAATGTTCTAAAATTTACTGTGGTAATGGTTGCACAACCCCATGAACCTACTAAAAACCACTTAACTGTACGCTTTCAGTGTGTGAATTGTGTGGTATGTGAATCGTATCTCAATAACGCTGTTATTTAAGAAAAAGAACATAAACAGATTTTTAAATGAAGGTGAAATAAAGATATTTTCACACAAATGAGAGCTGGCAGACCTGCACTGTAAGAAATGTACAATGTAGTTCTTTGGCTGGAGAACTGATACCAGACGAAAACCTGGATCTGCACAAAGGAATGAAGACCTAGGAATGGTAACTATGTGGATAAATATAAAAGACTCCTGTTTTCTCATTTTACACGTCTTTAAAATATAAGTGACTGTTTCAAAAAGGCAAAATAAATTAAAATGAAATTAAATAATTAAAAAGAAAGACACTGAATGTTTTCCTAGGAAATTCAAAAGAAAAACTGGCAGGAAACAAACTTTGAGGGAGTAGGAATTTGACAGCTGTTTCTTCTCAGAAGGAAAAAAAAATAGAAAATACTCTGAAGTGGACTTTCAAAAGTTAAACAAGTAAATTTTTTAGAAGTCCGTGCCTCAAACACTCTCCACAGAAAACCATTATCTTCTATTCATTTCAATCCATTTTGAGTGAATTAAGATATGGTACCTGCTTTTAAGATACTAAAGTGGGCCACACAACCTGTGTGGGGTTCTGACGTTTATAAAGTTTTTTTTCAGCTTATGATAGCATGTTAAAGCAAGGTGCACAATTGTTTATAAAATAATGTCAATTACGCAAAAATATCCTGTTCACAGAAAAACAGCTCAATGAAGTGGGCAAATTAAGTCAGTGAAATGATAGTTCACTTGTTCTCTTGTTTTCTTGATTTTCAATCTTTTACTTTAACTTGGGAAGATAAAGTCTCTTTTTTTTGTACTAGTATCCAAATCTCACATGAAAATTGGTTCTGAGAGACTATTTTGAATGAGTCAAACTCTGTGCTGGGGACAATGGGAACATCAATGATCAACAAAGTTCAAGCTCTCAAGGAATCTATAATCTAGTAGGACAGATAATGTCCCTATGTAGCCATGCACAATAACTAAAGAGCAAATGCCACGGGAGTGGAGTGGAGGAAAAGAGAAAAATGGATAGAGGGTAGAAATTAGCAAAAACTTTATGTAGTTTCCTTTTTATCATGACAACTGTAGAAACTTTTCTATACAATGGCCAAGATGAACCTGATTATTACACTATCCATGCTAAAGGATTGGTAAGACAATTAAAAAAAAATGTGGACATGTCACCAGAGAAGAAATACAGATGGCAAATAAGCACATGAAAAAATGCTCAGTATCATCAGCCATAAGGGAGATGCAAATTAAAACCACAATGACATTTCACTACACACCTATTAAAATCAAAAACATTGAAAAGACTGACTACAGGAAGTGCTGGGAGGATGTGGAAGGACTGGAATTCTCATACATTGCTGATAGGAATGAAAGATAGTCCAATAGCTTTGGAAAACAGTTTGGCACTTTTTTTTTTTTTATAAAATTAAGCATATATCTACCATATAATCCAGCTATTCAACCCCTAGGTATTTAGTCAAGAGAAATGAAAGCTTATGTCCATACAAAAACTTGTACACAAATGCCCCTAGAAACTTTATTTGTAACAGCCAAAAACTGGGAACAACTCCAATGTCCATCAACAGGTAAACAGATTAACAAGCCGTGGCCTGTCCACACAGTGGAATACTACGCAGCAATATAAAGGAATGAAC